ACCAATCACAGCTCATGACAAGGAGCCCATCCCCTCCCTATATATACAGCTGTGATCCCTGAAACGGCATTCTTGTTCTCTTCCCAGTGAAGACTTTCCTTCAGCATTATTATTAGCGGTGTTTCCTGTCCTAGCTAATGCGTTAAGACGAGCTAAGTTTAGGGGATATTTAACTCACCATGTCGTGTCCAAGGTCGCCGCGGAGAGAGGGAAGGATGCCTCTTCGCGCTCATGTCTGGCAGCATGTGGATTCATGATCTCAGGTAGGGATTCGCATCCGATGTGTATAGCATGCATGGGTGTCAAGCATGCCCAGGCTGCGCTGGCATATGCGGAAAGTTGCTCGCACTGTCGTGTAATGCCGGCCAGGATACTAGAGAGAAGGCTTCGAGTGGCGGCATCTTCCAAAGACGATCCGGTTCTCTCCGCTGTCCCTCCTTCGGCAAAGGGTTCCCAACCCTGTCCCCCACGTTTTCTTTCTTCGTGAGGGAATATTATGGATTCGGAGTCCCCTGAGTTTGCACCGCTTTTCAACCAGCAGTTGCTGGCGGACAGCGATGAAGTCGAGGGAGATGAGGAGGAAGATGAGGAGATGCTAGCTCGCCTCCTCCAAGATGAGCCGGATGATGAGGAGGATGATGCTATCCTGTCTGCAGCCCAAGCGTACAGGCCGGTGAGCGTGCAGAGTGGCGATGTGGCGTCGACGGTGGTGGATTGCGACCTAGGCAAGGTCTGTAAACGCGCTGCAGCTAAGCTTGGCATTGCTTGGCCTGCAACTCCCGGGGATACGCGAGTTAAACGTGATATCTATGATGGGAAAAGGCTGCCTTTCCGCCTTCTCCCAGCGAAACAACTGCTTCCCGCTGTGCCGGCGTGTATAGCAGAGATGAAGCGGTCATGGGATAAACCCTTTTCTCATTGCATGCCCGTCTAGGGTATCTCGTGTCTCGAAATGAGTGAGATGAAGGGGCTTGGGCTCTCTAACCCTCCCACGGTCGAGCAGTTAGTGGCTCACCGCCTGCATCCGAACAATCTCTCATCGGCCAGCCCCTTCCTCCCTGGGAAAATTTAACTCTTTACCGCTTCCATGTACCAGAAAATTTACAAGTCTTCGGCACTAGCGGTGAGGGCACTAAACGTCACTTAATTGTTGATGGCCTATCAAGCCGAATTACTGGAGGAGCTGGGTACGCAGCTGGACGCCGGTAATCCGAACCCAGCGGTCTGGGAGGAGATCTGCAACATAACGGATCTCAATCTACGCACCTCACTGAACAATGGGAGAGCGTTCTCAACTATTAAAGTTTACCTGGCTGCTATTTCCACTTGCCATGTAGGTTTCGAAGGAGTTTCAGTGGGTCGGCACCCTCTTATATGTCGTTTTATGAAAGGAGTGAGGCGTTTGAGACCAGTGTCGAAGCGGCTGGTCCCGTCATGAGATTTGTATTTGGTCTTGAATGCTTTAACTCAGGCCCCGTTTGAACCTCTGGAGAGTGTTCATATTAAGCTCCTATCTTTGAAAACGGTCTTACTACTTGCTTTAGCCTCAGCTAATCGAGTGGGGGAGTTACATGCCTTGTTGGTTTATCAAGCATGTCTAAATTTTAGTCCGGATGACAGCAAAGTTACGCTGCTGCCAAACCCGGCTTTCATTCCCAAAGTCAGTGATTCAGCTTATAACTGCTCTGCTTTGGAGTTGCGTGCTTTTTACCCTCCTCCATTTTCTTCTTCAGAGGATAGGAAATTGCACACTTTGTGTCCTCTACGAACGTTACGCTATTATGTAAACAAGACACGATCCTTCAGAAAGGATGATCAGCTATTCGTTTCATGGGCCACTCATTGTAAGGGTAAGCCGATCTCCTCACAGCGCCTCTCCCTCTGGATGGTGGAGTCGATTGAAATAGCCTTTACATCTATGGGTCTTCATTCCCCAGAGGGCCTTAGGGCCCATTCTACACAAGGTATTGCTACCTCATGGGCGTTGTTCAAGGGGATTTCAGTGGGAGATATTTGTGCGGCGGCAAGTTGGTGTTCCCCACATACATTTATCAGATTTTACCATATTGATGTCACTGTGCCTTCATTGGCTCATGCGTTTCTTAAAGTTGGCTCTTTGGAGAATTGAAAAGTAATCTTTCTTCCTTTTCGAGTCTGTTCGGCGGCTTCGGAAAGCATGCGTTACGGGAGTTGGCTATATCATTCCCATAGTGAGATACCAAGCGATTGTTTGAAAGAGAATGTTAGGTTACTTGCGTAACCCCGGTTCTCTGAGAACAGAGCAAGGTGTCTCACCAAGCTTTCCCACTCGCATAACACTGGGGAAGAGCGTGCTTAGAATGCCGTTTCGGGGATCACAGCTGTATATATAGGGAGGGGGTGGGCTCCTTGTCATGAGCTGTGATTGGTCCGTCCTTCGGACAGACGTGGTGTAATTGGTGCTTCCATAGTCTGTCACGCCTGGGGGCGTTCCCATAGTGAGATACCTCGTTCTGTTCTCAGAGAACCGGGGTTACGCAAGTAACCTAACGTTTCCTGTTTGAAGTATATTGATATTACATTAATAAAGTGATGAAGCTACTAACATAAAAACATCAGAAATCAGATTGAGGCAAACTTCATGTTGACCACATCAATTTCTGACATTTCCATTTCTGTTTTGCTTGCTTTTTTGCTGTTTCCTGGTCTCAAAAACTGTTTCCAGGGAAGCCGTGGCAACTATAGCTTCTCTTACATAGTAATGCATGAGACAGTGAAACAATACAGTTCTTCAAAGTCCTTAATCAAGAGGTCACTTGAGACAAATCCAGACAGTGAATGATCGCAAAATGACTCTAATGATTCCCTGTCTCTTCAGTTCTTTGTGTTGCCTGATGGGTAATTGTGTCCAAATCTGATACACTCCCAGAGAGCCACTTGCAGACACTAAGAACTCAAATCATCAATGGCAATGGCATTGTTTGCTGATAATCCAAACCTCATGGGAATTTTGTCTGTCTGTCTACAGCTTTCATACAGTCAGACAACATCCTGGAGGTACTACACTTTGGGGAAGGAGGCCTCTTGCAGGTATGTTTTTGTGAGTCTGATAGCTGATAGAATGAAGCTTGCATTGCAGTATAAAGGCCATAGGATATTCCTCAAACACCATTTTGGATGAAATGTGACTACATACACTGATATCTGCAAAGCTTGATGTTGTCAGTAAATGACAAAAATATCAGGGTTGTCACAATTAGTGGATGATAATGGACTCCCTTATTTGAAAGGTATTGAGATAATCCACAGAAAAGAGTTCAATTAAGAAAAAGAAAGTTGTTAGGCACTTAAACGTGAGAAGCTTTGCGCAGCAACAGAATTAGTAACACTGTGTCTGTCACACTGAAGTGTTGTGAAGCTGTTGCAAACAGAGTAAAAGAATCAAATCAATAGTTTTCAAAGTCATATTTTAATATTAAAATTACTAATTTTCTGTAAGTTATACAGTACATGCACTCATAACGATTTTGCAAAAGTAGAGTGTGATGAGGGAAAAACAGTATATCCTTCTTTGTCTGGATACACAAAGCAACTGGTGTAATTTTAATGCAATCTGATGAACAAACTGATGATCTTATGAGACAGTCTTTCAAAACTGCTTTTAAATGATCTTGCTAAATCTGTGTGAGCAGTTATTGATTTGCATCTGGGTAACTTTCTGATCTGCATGATATCATTGCTTTTTTATCTTGTCTCACTTTCTGTATTGGTAAGGGTTATGAGACTTACCGGTATATAAGTGTAATTAATTTATTTTTGGAAAATAAAGTTTGTTCTTCCCTTTCTGCAAGAACAGAATTGTAGGAAACACTTTAAACAATTATATAAATTGAATGAACCACTTTTTTGGTACTCCAGTTGTCTATAATTTAGTTTTTACTCTGTTAATGAGAGGTTTGCAACAGCTTTAAAGGCTTTATCAATTTTATATTTTAATTATGTTAAGTCTTTGTAAAGGCTTCTTTCTTTTTCTAGTACTGTATTTGTCATTCTTTGCGGTACATTGATTAATTAGGATTTAAAAAGGTGTGACAGCCTAAATGATGTTTTCAAATGACTTTAATTGTCCAATAAACTATTCACAAATATTATAAAATATCTGAGCTATTTTGAAAGCATAGCTGTAATAGTCCCTTGAATGGGACTATGAACACTATGATCTTAGTGGTTTTGTGTACATGTGAGTTTGGACTATTGTGGAAATGTTAAGGTTTATAAATAGACTAGACTGTACTCCCGTCTCCATCCAGTTGTTTCCTTCTTATTTTAGCCCTACAGAAGTGAACCTCAGTGAGAACGTCTCTAAGGTTGTCTTTTGAGAGTCTGATGCTCACACTCAGTGTATACAACCAGTAGCTCATCAAAATAGCAAGGTCCAAAAGATAGACTTCAACACTTTGCTAAAAATGTGTTTGACCTAGACCTTCTGTCATTATAACCTGCTCTTTCTTTAGATGTCCTGCATGTTAGTACTAATAACTTTCAGAGTCTAATTTAATTTCTTTTCTTTTTACAGACAGAGTCTGATATTGATCTTAGCTCATATCGTCAAAAAAGGTAAGGTTTTAAATTTCATACACCCAAAGATTTTCTGCATGCATCGTTTTGGACGTGCTTGGCCAGAGTCAGCATGTAGTTTATATTAGATTGTCCAAGAAACATTTGTTCAGTACTTAACGAGACATGTGAACTAAATATTCCCACTAAACTATGAGATGTTCCTGTGCTCAAGGAAAAACAAATGAGCCAAAAATACAAGCGTCACAAGCTGTCATTTCATCGGACTTCCTTCGGATGTCAAATGATTGAATCAGATTTAGATACTCTTGGTGGTCATTGGCATTCAGTAAATTGTTGCAAAGCGGAGTGAAGGGAGTGAAGGGAATGAATGAATCAATGGATGAATGAACGGTGTGTCTTTGCTGTGGCATTTTAAGTACTTCAGCAGTGATTTTACTCTTTGGATCAGAGGTGAATTGGGTAATTATCTTCCATCCCAGTAAACACTTCTCATAGCGAGTTTATGAAATTACACAACACTGTCCTTTAAGTTTGTAAGCAGAGGAACTGGTATAAAAGAGCAATGAGTCAGAGTCAGAAAAGATATTGTTCTCTTAAAAGACCAGAGGAATTTTGATGATCACATTTCCTTTTATAAGTTATAAGTTATTTCAGACTTGTTTTGAACTAATTCCAGTAGATCAACTTTTTGTGTACTAGGTGGCCTATTCATTTGCTCAACCAATCAAAGCTTTCCAGCTTGAGGGATTGGCCAGCCTACTTATCTGTATATGCTTGCGGTGGCTGGATTTCATTGGCCGATTGTCTGCGTTGTGACTTGTCATCTCAGTTGCAGGAGAACACACCCTTAGTCAACAACATCAGCATGTCACATACAGTTTAGTGTGCATGGCCAAGTGTAGCGCAAGTGAGAAAATGAGGAAGCAAGCAAATGCCGTTTGGTATAATTTTTATTACAAGAATGAATAGCTTTGTGATCTAGTGCTAATAGACTTAGAGTGTTTCCTCTTTTGCTGATGGATGGACAGATTTTCTGTTGTGTTTTCAGATCTAGTATTGAACTTTGTGTCTACTGATAGTGGTGTCTTTATTGCAGATCTTCATGTTTTTTTTTTTAAGCACGCCACCAGACACGCACAGTTGGGAAGTGGTTGACACAATTTTAGCTGTGTTAGGGACTTTGTTGCAGCTCTTTTTCTGTGGTTTGTGCCACCAGACCAGTAAGCCTAGTTTAATGCCTTGAGACTTTTCTTTATATTTGATCACAAGGCATTAACTATGTCTGATCACACCCCACCAAAACATTGTAAGACACATGTTTTATGTCTCCTTAAAATGTCAAATTGATGTTGATCTACTGGTGGTGTGGTTATTTCACTGTTTAGCTCTTTTCTAGTTCATTTTGGCTAAACTGTGTAGCCAGAGGTCATGCTGACACTGTTTGAGTCAGCCTTTAAAATTATCCACATTAGTTCATAACAGTGTTTGTGTTATCCTTATGCAAGCTGCAGTAGAGAGGTTCACAAGATACAGACTCTATTTCTCTTGAACACATTGCCGTGCAACCTGACGCGCCACTTTCTGTTGTTAATCCACAAATATGCTGTGAGCCTTGCTTCTGAGTGACAATGTCTTTAGTCAAGTGGCAAGACTCATTTGTCTGTCACTCTGACACTCTCAGGGTTTGAGAGCCATTGTATGTTTATTTTAGTAGTTTAACATAAGCTTTGCCTCATTCGCAGATGTTTGGGGCCTTGTATACGAGTCAAACTGTTTTAGAACGTGTTACCCCTCTATGAAAAATATTAGTTATTGTAGTAACTTGCCAGTAGAGAGAGTGATGAATAGTTCTATTGTAGAGTTTGCAGATTAGGGCTAGTTCAAAGTGTTGAGTCTGTTGTCTAGTCTAGACATAAAAAATAATGATAATATTTAACAGTAATTTGTTATAATGTTGTTGTGTTAAATTATTTTAAATTTAATTGTTATTTTTAAATAATGTTTATTATTATTGATGATAATATTAATCAATAATTAATAATAGTGATAACAATCATCATCAGATCAGTAAAATATATGTGTGTGTGTGCGTATTAGGGGTGTAATGGTACACAAACATTATGGTTCGGTACGTACCTCAGTTTTGACATCACGGTTCGGTACAGTTTCGGTACAGCAGGGGGGCAAACTAAAAATTTTTTTTTTTTACTGAACAGTGGTTTACTGAACAAATTGCTCTTCAAATAAATTCAATTATAATTAAATTTGTCTTAGGGATAAAAATCTATCTCGGCTTATGCTCTAAACCAGGGGTGCCCAAACTCGGTCCTGGAGGGCCGGTGTTCTGTAGAGTTTAGATCCAACCCCAATTAAACACACCTGAACCAGCTAATCAAGCTCTTATAGGCATACTAGAAACTTACCAGCAGGTGTGTTGAGGCAAGTTGGAGCTAAACTCTGGCCCTCCAGGACCGAGTTTGGGCACCCCTGCTCTAAACTATAGGGAGCTCATTTACATTACTATAAGGTTACAATTAACAACGAAATAAAAGAGAAATTGTATGCAAACATGTAAATTGCACATAATGCAGTTTTTAAATTAACTTCTAAATAATAAAAATTCAATTTGTTGTTTAAATATATTCATTTACACAGTGCCTCTCATAACTCGTTTCATAACAGATTGTAAGCGGTAAGCGATTTCTGGTAGCCAATGTTGACATTTGAAATCACCAAAACAAACACCCCTATCCCAAAAGGGTCTCGCCCCTATTTTGATAGCTCCGCCCTGCACATACTTACGCAACCCAGGCAACGATTAGTTCTGTGAAACAAAGCAAAAACAATGTTACACCGTGTCTACACCGGATGCGAGTGGCGCGGCGCAAGAACTCATTTATAATCAGTGATGCCGTCTACACCATAGATATATATATATACATATCTATGGCCTACACTGGATGCGGCGTGGCACGACACAACAAATCCCCGACAAAAAACTGCTGCTGCGTTCTATTTATGATGTATTGACACAAATTTCAAATGATTTTCAACGGTCGCTTTGTCGCGTCCAGTGTACTAGACAGACTTTAGCTGTTGCGGCGCAGACACGGTGTTACTCACCTATCGAGAAGAAACAAAGCAACCTCGGCGTCCGATCGCAGGCCTTCCGCTCCTTGAGTTCTCTCCAGCGCTGGAAAGCTGATCCGATATTTACACGGGTCCTACTTCTTGCCTTATTTTGTTCCGCAGACGCTTTCCTCTTTTGTATTTTATCTGCCATATCTATCTTTCTGTCGCTCGGCTAATGTCCTGTGCTGTGCACTGAACGCTCTCTCCTCCACATCATGAGTAGACACGCCCCTTACTGCTGATTGGCTACAAGTTTGTTTTGCTACTGGCCCGAATCAGTTTTCTAAAGCGTTTTTGAAAAATCGCTTACCCCACCTTTAAACATTAAATAATTAAGACATCACTAACAGATAAAGTAAAATGTAATGAGTATATTGTCTTAATATTTAGCGAAATGCTCTTCTCTGCACTTAATTTCTCTAGCGAATTAATGAGCTGTGGACACTGATGTTTTATTGCCGTTGTGACGAGAGGGGCGGGGCCGAGAGCTGTGGGAAAGGAGCGAGGCCGGTGGAGTAAATGCGAATACCTGCGCCACTCACCGGTCTCGAGTCCAACGGAGGAGCTCCGGAAGGATAAAAGGAGGAGTGACGACAGTGTTGGACGAGAGAGGATCAGGCCTGGACTTTATTTTGTGTTTTGGTTCTGTTTGTGCGCGGCAGTCGTCCGCGATTTTGTGTTTATTTTATTATTAAAATTTAGTTTGAATGTTCGCCGGTTCCCACCTCCTTCTTCCCGAACTACGAACTTTGTTACAGCCATCTTTCCGTGGTTGAAACACTGATTGAGTGATTACATGAGGCATGAGATGTTCATTCATGCTTATTTCGTTTTAAAACTAGTAGTAAAGAGGAGCTGACTCTCGCTCTGCGCTGCCGTTTGAACGGAGGCGTTTATACAGCGATTTGTCACGCCACATCAAAGAGCGCCAAAACGGTATTTATTGTTTGAATTTCCTGAAAAAATATGGATATAATTTGAAAGATGAGACTTCGTTTCTAATCAAAAGTAACAATTTATAAATCTGGAAATTTCCAATGAAGTTCCTCTCAGGCAGTGGTTAAACCACCACTGTATGTGTTCGGTACACATGTGTACCGAACCAAAACACCCATACTGAAAATTTTCCCTAATCTGAGTACAACTCTACAATAGAACTGTTCATATATATATATATAGGGATGTTCATTTTGGTTATTTTTCCTAACCGACAACCGACGCTCGTTAACCGATTGTTAACCGTTAGCTGACAAGATTATTTTAAATTAGAATTGAATTAAATTAGAAAGGATAAGTGTCTGTGACCCGTTAAAAATACTAACATTTGTTTCCCGGGGATTAATTTTACATGCGCAAAAAGCAGCAAACAACAGAACATGAGGATTCACAT